TATTTTCAATTTTACAGATGAGAACTCTCACTCTGCTGCTTTGGCAACACAACAGCAAACTGTCGAGATGCAGAAGGCCTGTAATAATTCCATGTTTATAAACTCTTTTACCATATACTGTGTTATGATTGATGTATTGTTGTTAAAACAGTGAATAAATAATGTAATTATATAATTAGCATATGTGTTTTTATTATATGAGGAAATTAAGGGCTCGTCGGGTGAGGGTGAGTTCCGGAATCTGTTCGCACGCTTATAGAAAAAAAAATTTGGTTTGGCGAAACTGAATTTTGACCCAGAGCTAGCCCTGGTATTGAAGCTAATACCATCTCACTGTCTTGTAATAAGCCCACTCCCCTTACTTCAAGCCACTCTGGTTATCACAAGATAATATGGAAATGCAGTGAGACTAGGCAAGGTGACATTCAATGGCCACACAATGACTTTCTGTCATCAGTTATGTGGTTCTGGGTTCAAATACCAGTGTAGCCAAATGTGCTCCAAACTGTTACAGTGATTTAGATATGCATTCATTTCTGGAAGCAGCATTTCCATACCTCACACACAATTATCCTACTACAAGAGCTGAAAGATTTTAACACCTCTCTGTGTTCTAATTAATCATGGACATCGAATTTTGAATCCATGCACATATGATGAATTAATAAACTGCCCTAATGAAATGGTATCAATACCATGACCTACATTTGTTTAATAACTTATTCAAACGATCTTGTATCAATTTACTTCTATACAACGTCATTGATTACCAATGATTGATTATTGCTGGAGTGAGAACTCTCCTGTGTGTGAGTTAATGAATATGACTCAGCTACAGTAGTATTTCTGACCCCTGTAATCCTCCGAGACGAACAAAAATCAACAGGTATTATGGTGTATGGATAAATTCCAAATGAATTACATCTCGTCAGCTACTGACTTTGTTTATACAGGATATGCAGTTTCTATGGTTATATGAAAACAACCTCGTTCATGATCATTAAAAAAAAAAAAAAAAACCCTGAAAACATCGCAATAAAATAATTCCCATGTTATTTGTTTAGTAATCACCATGGTTACCCAAGGCAGTGTTTTCATCTTGTGATCATCTCTGATCGCTAACCTCTATTTCCTTTATTGATATTTGTTTGTTTTAATGTTACGTAATACGAGTGAGCAAGTTCAGACACGTTAAATATCTTTTTAGTAACAAAGTCGCAAATCAATACTTGACTTGGAGTACAGTTCCAATACAATCACATGTTATATTCAATATTTTCATTTTCTGTCATGGCAGGGGTCCAAATCTCATTATATCTCTGAAACTATTTCAAATTACAATATGTGTACGATTTTACAACATCGATAGATCTTTGTAAATATGATCTGCCTTACAATATTGCCGACATGTTGCAGGTTTCTGTGACATATGCCTCCATAGAGGTGAATAGATGAATAGAACTTGGCTGAAATTACATCAGCAAATGATAGACGCAGCAGCATATTTCACTTTTAATCATCACACTAGGAATACAAACTGCTTTCTCCACAACAGAAGTGATGTCACATTATACTAAGCATTAAAGTTTAAAATTTTACTACAAATAAATCTTACCCTCGGTCATAAAACTTGTTGTTGGAATGACACACATTGCACTTACCAGCAGTAAGTAGAACTTTGCAAAATTTTCATTTCAGAGTTATTGGTTGTTTTATACACTTTTTTTTTCTCTTAGCTTCTCTCAACCCCCATCCTTCCAACTCAGCTTCTTGAGAAACACAACCATCTAAGACTGGGAGTGTCCAACTACACACCTCAGAGTTTCACCTGAGGTTAGCAAGGCCAATGATCTAATTGACAACAGAGCTATTGTGGCCCCCCGATGTTGATTGAGGTCTTAGAATATATATCAGTAGTATAACAGGAAACCAAAATATCTAAAAAATCTCAACAATAAATTCAGCAGACCACCAAATCAATGCAGAAATATTGATTATATAACAGCCGACAACTTTTTGAAATTTGAGCAAGTAGAGTACAAGAGGATACAACACTAAAACACACCCTGTTCGAAATAGGGAATATGTGTTAGTGACACCACTACAGATTAATTCATCCCCCTCGTATTCTAAATAATTGTGTAAACCATCAATCAAGTGCATTCTGATGGTATTTCTGTCAGCGATCTGGCATGCAATTATAAGGCAGTGTTATGTTCCTAATCAAGATTCCTCCAGATATTGCAGGAAAAACGACACAATTTTCACAGATATAGCAGAAAACGATCATTTTCATCCGACACTGCTACTCAAATATTCTTTGCGGATGCAAAGATCTATTGTTACTAACAGCACATGGGATTTGAAAGTTGTGTTGGAAATGGATATGAATCTAGAACTCTCAAAAGACCACACAACAGCCATTATCGATGTCCATCCACAAACCTAAATCAAAAATCAGCATTAATCAATGGAACAGTATCTCAAATCTGTGTCCATCAGCAAAATAAAATCTCTCCTCAATGTTGATCAACAAGCCAAAATCTTTAAACACAGAGACTCAAACTGTGAAGATCTCATACAGCCAGTTCTATACTTCTGTAAATTTATTAATTATAAATTTGATTATAATGCCTTCATGGCCGAGTAACACATCCCCACGCATAAAGTCACACTGATCATATGTAAGGAAGGAGACAGCAACAATACACCAGACAGGAACTGATAGTATCCTTGATGGCCAGTGAGAGAGGAAGATATTGGTGATGATCTGCATTACAATTCAAAGTGGATCACTTCAAGGTTCTAATCCTTTCTATGACCTTCAATCCCAGAGTATTAACAGGACATATGGGAATAATATGACTGACAATTCAGTAAAAATCCACCTAGGGCCACGATAACGTATCTCTGAAATATTCTCATCAGATATGAACTCTGGTTTAAATTCATATTTCTTGTAATGCTATCAGATACAGGAAACAGAGCTGTATCATTCTGATCATTTCCTTATCCAGCTTGAACATTTCACATTAAAGAATGATAAAAATCTAACCAAGTGCAGCACCCCAGAACACTTCAATTTTCCGTTAATCACGGAAATATCAAAACTCCGATTTTATTTCTGTAACTCCGATTTTATTTCTGTACAATGAATTATATAATTCATTAAAAGTAAAATACGTGCAAGTATTCAAACAGAATTTTAAGCTGGATTGCTGAAATGTGATCTTGAACAAGACACATGATAACTTTGGTAAAAAGCCAAGAGGTCAAACTGGGGCGTAGTACTCACCTGGAAATAAATTTATCAAATAAAAGATAATTTCAATTTTAATTGACATTGGAAAGTTCCAAAGGACAGCACATTTAGGGTCAAAATCTTAATAGTTTCTGTGTTATGATTTAGGACTATACATCCCAAGAGGCATTTTATGTAAACCTTTTTCTATACACAGCAATTGTATGTATGGTTACCAAGTGTAGGTCTTTTAGTATATGTTTCCAGCTATAATTCTAGGCCCAAGTTCACAGAGTCCAGATAGAGCATAATGGCGGTCGCATAAATGTGTTTTTTTCTTTGTGTCCAGTACATGATGACAAGTTGTGGGGTGGGTCTCAACTTTTTTAATTTGTCAGTGGAGGTTAAGTTTACACAAAGGGTGAAACATATCTTATAAATCACGTCCAGCAATTGTCTGTCGTTAGAAGCAGGTATCCTAATAATTTCTCCTGAAGAACACAAGACTAAATCCGCAAATTTGAGCCACACCCAAAGGCTAATCAAGTTAGCATGAGTGTATTCCTCACTTCATGCCTAGCAATTAGATACATGATCAAAGGGTGAAGATCTCACAATTCTCTATGCTATGACCTGTGGCTGTAAGAGACTGTCACATGTAGTAAGTGCAGACTAGATTAAGTAACATGGTTTTGTTTTTCTCTCTCCATGCCAGGTAGTCATTTATTTAGTGATACAGGGTAGGTTTTCACTTTACAGGAACAAATAGGTTGTTCCCTCCACGCCCACTAAGCAGGCATCTAGTTAGAAGGTGGGAGTCATAACTGTTACCTTCATTGTCTCTGTTGATCTATCAACCTAGGATTTGATGTTTAACAATCTAATATGTACATTCTTGTATTTATGATAATATTTCTATAAGAGCTACTTTCAGTTGCAAGCTGTCCTATCTGTGAGAATGAGGTAAGACTTACGACCAGTGAGAACTGTCTGTGAGAATGAGGTAAGACTAACAACCAGTGCGGACTGTCTGTGAGAATGAGGTAAGACTTACGACCAGTGAGAACTGTCTGTGAGAATGAGGTAAGATTTACAACCAGTGAGAACTGTCAATGAGAATGAAGTAAGATTTACAACCAGTGAGAACTGTCTGTGAGAATGAGGGAAGATTAACAACCAGTGAGAACTATCTGTGAGAATGAGGTAAGACTAACAACCAGTGAGGACTGTCTGTGAGAATGAGGTTAGACTAACAACCAGTCAGAACTGTCTGTGAGAATGAGGTAAGATTAACAACCAGTGAGAACTGTCTGTGAGAATGAGGTAAGATTAACAACCAGTGAGAACTGTCAGTGAGAATGAGGTAAGATTAACAACCAGTGAGAACTGTCTGTGAGAATGAGGTAAGACTAGCTACCAGTGAGAAGTGTCTGTGAGAATGAGGTAAGACTAGCTACCAGTGAGAACTGTCTGTGAGAATGAGGTAAGACTAACTACCAGTGGGAACTGTCTGTGAGAATGAGGTAAAACTAACAACCAGTGAGAACTGTCTGTGAGAATGAGGTAAGACTAGCTACCAGTGTTGTTTCCTAAAGAAGCAGGTACTGCCGTTGGGCATGACAAAATACCTTGGTTTATTTTGTCATTGCTTTTGGGATCTGATTGTTACTTCCAGTCAGTCAAAAAATCTCAGAAGTATATAATTTGTAAATTTCATCCCACTGAAATACAACCACACATGTAAAGGGGAATAACTCACCTTTCAAGAACATCACCCTCAAGTACCGTCTGTACGGGGAGGAAGCCAAGACGAGGATGTTTCTTAAAATGTTTCTTTGTCTTAAATTTGTTCTTTATCATTTTTGTAAAATCTCTGACATCTTCCCCTGAGGTCGTCTTTAAAGAAAAATGAAACAATTATCAATTTTATATACCTTATCAAATAGAATATTTATCATATCTATGTAAATTTTAAATGAAAATTTAATTTGTAAACCATTTTAAACTGAATTTAATAATGACATTAAACATTTTTATGTTTTCTCCTATTTTCAGTGATTAAATATGTTAATTATAACTGCAACTTATTTGATAATTTGTTCAATGAAACAGCACATAAAATTTTTTTTTTTTTTTCAATTTGAAAATCATTTGATGCTACACACTTACTGCGGTACAGTATTCTTGCATAGGATGTGAAAGTTTATGGGTCTTGGCTTTCCTTCCTGAGAAAAAGCAGTTTTGGCAAACATCAAAATTAAAGCACCTAAGGCATCGGTATCTGTAAAGAAAAAGAGCATTATGTATAAGCATCTATAGTCTATGCTTCAGAGTGTACCAGGGGAAATCACTCTCATACAATGAAGCAGACTTGGGTTGGTCATAACATTCTTTGAAACATATGTGACCATTTCTTTATAAGGAGTCAAAACTGTACATACTTTCATTCTCATAGCTCTAATTTAAAATAAAAATACTGATAATCTTCCAACTCAAATGACAAAGTTTAAAATGTCCATTATTTCACCCACCTAAAACCAACTATTGGAAATTCTTTACAAATATTGCACTTGGCCTGGTGTTTGGCAGTTTCAGAAGCTGCTAGGCGATGAAGCACCGGAAGCCACACCAAGGACTGTGGCTCCATCTTGAGCCAATCTAGGAAGTGGGTGGCTTGGATTTCTGGTCGACCATTGGCCTATAAATGACAAAAGGGAGACAACAAAATGAAAAAACGATCAAAAGGCGTAATTGCAGAATGATTTAATATGAAGGAATAATTGTTGGAGTAACAATATCTAACACATGTATTCATATTCAACAGAAACACAAGATTTGAATGATCTTCACATCCCTTTTCCGTTCCAGCAATTTTCTTTCTCATTATTCATGAAAATGTCTTGTCCTAATTTCTACAGTCAACTCATAAAAGTGTATATAGCTTACCTTTTCAAAACAGCTGCGGACACTTGGTTCTATGTTGCTGCCACCAAATGATGCCACCTCCCCCAGCTGCCGAGGAACCTGCATGCTGTCGTGGAGGAGAAGGCCAAGCCGCCGTTGGTCGGAGAAACCATTTGTGTCAGCTATCAACCGGAACAAAACTATGGGATGGAAAATAAAAATTATGAAAAACAGAAACCTTTTCTGTTTATCTTCCAAATATTGTTATTATCCAACATATAAATAAATTTCAAAATTGTGTCGGACAACTTCACACAAATAACATCTTTGAATACATGTTGCAAATTGGAGACAATTTTATATAAAGAGTAACAATAAAGAGAGAATTGTTATCTATGGCAGACAAGATACAGTCAGAAGAAAGATATACTTACATCTATATTTATCATCTAAATGGCCGTTACACATAAGGATGATACCGACTTTAAAGGAAAGAACTCGCACCTTCCCACTCCTCGCTCTGTCAGAGAAAACGTACAATTAATAAATATTAAAATCAGCCAATGCTTCATTCACAACTTTTTTTCACGGTCTTTCATGTGTATATTTATTGAAATAGGTATGGTAACATAAGTCCTTGATCTGAAAAATCTAAATAAATTTGGTTTAAACATTAGAAATGTATGTGGTCACCTGTCTGTGGGTTTTCCGTGATACTCTGACACATTTCAATCAACAAGGGAGATAATAGAAGCCTCGATCTTATCTCACAGTTGTTATGAAATTAATAGCCCCAGTAAGTCGTATAGTTTACCTGACCTTCCATCATGACCTTCACCTACTTCTAGGTCAAGCTAATTTGGTTCGCATTTGAGACACTATTGCAGAAGTGATAGCGAGTCTTTTTCCCTGCTGACGATTTGATAATTGTTATTTTAACAGTTACCACATCATAAGAAAGGGTACGTCTTATATTCCGATGCAGCTAATATGTGTATCAAATAGAAAAAAATAATTGAAAATTGGTTCTGCAGCTTACATACTTGTGTGGTTTACAACAGTAAAAACTTTGGGATAGAAACTTACATGTCATAAACATTGAGCACCCAGTTAAGCACCAAATCGACACAGAGTGGAACATTGACTAGATCCGGATGTTCCACAGAAACGTTATCATACATAGTAGACAGACAGTTGATCATCTCTATAACGTTCATTAGACTGTCGTTACGACCTCGCAGGTTGTGATGGTCGAATGCTTCTACAGCAACATTTATAGCTAGAAGGTCCACTAAAAACAGAACACAGAAAGATTTTATTAGAAACCTGAATTTGAAAACTGTGTTTTATTTGTGAATACGAACAAAACATGAGTAATATGTTGCTATAAAATTTGATTGTAAAAATGATTGACTGAGAAATTAATTCTCTTATTTCACATATTAAATTCACATTTAAGATCTTTTAAGAAATTTGCAGACATAACATGATTCTTATACGAGGAAAGTGAAATAAAATTTCAGCTGATCAAATAACCATCCATTTGATATAAGAAATGGTTTCATGTATGTAACACCCCTGACATTTTCACAGATCTGTAAATGTGACCATTATGATACCTCTGGCATGTATCTATATATACTTACATCGGAGCTTCTTCTGTAACATCCTGAGTTTCATGGCGGTCCTGTAGGCTGCGAATCTAATGTTGTTAAGGTCAGCTGTAATATAAAGGTGAGAAACAGGTGAGAAAAACACAGGTAAGGAAACACAATTATGTACAAATGAAAAAGGCTACTGCCACTATCTTACTGTAAGTCAAGGGGACTCAAAATAAATACTACTTCTGAATAAGACTTTGAGTGGGCTTATTACAGGACAATGGTGAACTTGTTTGTTTATTGGGTATATCGTCCCATGTCTTTTTTATGCAGTCTCCTTGTAGTTAATGGATACCTCACTGAGCAACACCTGGGAGGCCCATCACAAGACATTCAGAACAATTAAGGTAAAGTTTTGCCTAAGACCATGACAGCACAGTTTGGTCTGTTTCTCAGTTTTTTAAAAAAAAAAACCAAACCACCATGGATAGGAAGTGTTGATTACACCATAAACCTCTGACCTTCACCTGATGTTACTTAAGGCAACGTTCTACCAACTGAGCCATTTCGGCCCCACATTGGTAAAGCATTTGTTGGTAATATTACTACAGGTGAGCTTCATACTAGACATGGGCTTACTGCTAGCGAAACACTGTATAGTGTTTAATAAAGAAATGCTATGCTAAGCTCAAGTGTTAGTGTATAGCTGGCTATTACAGCAGTTTTGCTAGATCAGTTTTAATATCTTTATTAGTTCCATATCATGATGTAACAGAAAAAAATGAACTTAATTAACAATCAGGCAGTAGAACATGGTTTATCCATATATCCATATAATCCCCCCCTCTTATCCTATAGGGATTAGAGCGAGTCGGGATACATAACAGACTTATATTTTGTTAAATTGATTTTTTGAGGGGGGGAAGGGAGACAACTCTTGTCACCTCTAAATTGTGATGTCCACTTACCTAAGGCTTGCATAAGGTCAGTCATCATTGGATGGTCCCAGTGAGTAGTTTCTGTTGTGTGACTGAAAAATAATCATGTTACATACATAAGGATTATAGATCTACAATTTAAAAAAAAAAGTTTCCAATACTATATTTTCAAAATTTTCAACACTTAAATTTGATATTATTTTGATATTCAACCTAATCCAAGCTACAAAGACACTAAAACAAACCACATTTTCATGGAAAAAAAATCACAGAAAAAAGTGATAGAGCTGATCATGAAAATTGCTGGTATATTACCTACATCATACTAAACCATCAATTTTAATTGGTACCGAAAACTAGAAAATTTGTGTCTATGACTTACTTGATAAAATAAGGCACTTTGTTTCCAGACACAGCTCGTTCCCAAGGCTGTTCAACTGACACTGAAAGTACACAAGCAAACAAAAATCGTGAGTCAGTATCCACCATCTTGTCTTCCATACTGATTACTATGGTCATGAAAATATAACCGAACAAATGATACCGAACAAACTTGTGGTGTTATGTTTTGCCATGTGGGTGACGGAAATAGCCTAGTAACCCGATTCATTTTTCCTGGTACTTCCTAAAATGACGTATGGAATACTGACCAGACCATTTGTTACAGATACCATTCCACTAACCAGACCTATAGTTTCTTTGACCACATTGCCACAGCACTGATAAGCATTCATAAACCAAATTAAGCATAATGTACATGTCATGTCTTAGTGACCTGGGCAAAATGATATACTTACATCAGACATATCAGATATTTATATCACAGTATTTACAAGTATATACCATGATTATGGACTTTTCTTAAACCCATTTCTTATTAAACAAGCTCATTACCATATCAGCTAAGGATGAACATGTCTGAAATAAGACAGAATGTTCAATCTAACAACATGAAACACTTGTGCCACTTTAGGAAATATTTCAGATATTAGCAGAATGATTAAAGGCTTAAATGTAAAAGTGCATTATCTCCCTTTGTGCCTGATTAATATAAAGTTATTTCCCTTGAAAGTCTGCCAAATGAAAAAATTCCAAATTCTAAAAGCTAAAAAGATGCCATGCCTCGCAATAAAGATGGGTGATAAATATAATCAACGTTTTTATTGGTACTTTTGGTATTTTTTCTATCTCTTTTTCTGTATCTTAAGAATCCAAGACTCTTAACAAATGACGAGACAAAGATTTGAGGAGTAATACAGAGATTGGGGTGAGCTAGTGTACTGTAGTAGTTGGATTTCTCCCAAGAGTTGTGTAATCTTTGGAAAGAGGTCACTGATCTGTACCATATCCTCCAGGGAAACAATAATAACACTAACTTGGTATCTGCCCTAGAAATATGTACATGTCCCATTATTTCACGCCAATGCATGCAGATTTATGTAATGAAAATTTCATCCCTGAACAAATGTGCAAAATCTTCTATTGATTTTAGACTCAGCATCAAGAAGGCAAATATGCTTTCATGTTTCAAAAATTTCAACCATTTTTTTTTCCCTGTGGAACAAACTATGGATTATTTATGCAGCTTAAGAAAACGTCTGGCATCTGTCAACAGTTACTGACAACATATATGGGGATCAAAGTTTGGGACGCAATGTAGCACCATTAGTCACCCCTGTCTACCAAGGTCTTATCTTTTTTTAAATAAGAGCGGTAGAGAAGAAATGTTTATTAACCCAGCATGCTTGACAATTTTTTCTTCATATAGAGAGGAAACATGTCTTTTTATTGGGAGTTTTATCCTTAATTATTTGGAAATGAAATGCACAGCATGTCTGCCTTTTTAGCCTTTGTGTTATCATACCTATAAAATGACAAAACATCCAAAAGTGAATGGAAGTGAAGGCATGTCACTACAAAGTCTTTATGGTTCGTCCTGTCACCCATGTCTGTGATGTCTGTCTTTTACTGTCAGTCTGCTCCGATAACGTCTGGGTAAAAAAATCGGACACAGCAAGGGGTGACAGGGAGCAGGCAACATTCAAAGTTAGTTAGCTGTGCGACATGACAGGGAGGAAGGAACTTGGAAGAGTAGGGGTGCAGAGGTCAATACAGATGTAATGATTCCTGGGGGTAGGGACGGGGTGGGGGTAAATTGAGACAAACGTGATCAGGGAGAAGTAGATAAGTAGTAAAAAAGAATATTTTTTATATGACAATGGAATTCTCTTTATCGAGTTTTACGAAGAAAGAGGACAGGATAATGATGGCTTGAAAGCGTGTTGAGTGTCATACTAGAATTATTATATAACTATGAAATTCTTAAGATTGAAAGGAAGATGAGAGAATGCATGGCTTGTTAAAATTCTCAAGGAATTCTTAGTACATGAATAGGATGAGATTGTTGGGAGGGGGTGGGGCATGATGGCAATATGTGTTAAGTAATGATTATACAACAACAAAATTCCAAGATAAAGTTAGGATGTACCATGATGTTGGAGATGGTACCAGGATAGAACCTGATGAAAAAAAGATTCCTGATACCAAACCTGTGACAACAGTACATATTTACTCCAGCTATGTAAACTATTATTGTCAATTTACTCCAGCCGATCTACTGATAACAACTCCAGCTGACAGCAAAGTGTATCTCACAAAAACAAAACATCTGTCTCTAAATTATCTTAACACCGAAAAGCCTTCTCTTTCTGTAATCGAAATACCTCCCTCAACCCTGCACACCATGCCTGCCCTGCTTACATATGTACTTGATCTATCTGTATGCATCCAATCTTCAATCGTTTGGAAGCACTTAAACTCTACATGTAGACATGAATCTTTGGCCTGTATAAACTATGTTTTTTTGGAGGTTTTGGCACCCTGTCTATAAAAAAAGGTACATTTTTGTTGCAATAATACAAATCTCACCTGTTTCAATAGATAGAACAAGTAATCTATTTTGTTCTAACATTAATCATGAGTTCAGAAATTAAATTTCACAGGAGTAAAATGGTTGATTGCCAACATTTCATTGTAACAAGTTGACTTGTTCATCTATCAGAATAATTTACTTCTACCAGTGTTTAAGTTGTTCTATTTTTGACTTAATGTTTTGAGACATTGCAAACATAACCCTTGAGAAGCTTCAATCATCACGTTTTTCTCTTGCGTATATCTAGTCTTCTATATCATGATAACTTGATATTGTTTCATTAAATTGGCTTCTTTTCAAGAATATCTAACATAAAGATTATCTTTAACCTTGACCTTCCTTATCAACTCTGACCTTTGTTATCACATATCAAATATGATCCATTTTACATGCAAATTGAACAACAATAATTTATATTCAACAGAAGGAAAAATACTCAATTATTTGATAAATAATATAAGACAGATAAATAATCTCACAAATGTACAACACAGCATTCGATGTCATTGTCCATAATGTGAACGTTTGACCCTCCCTTCATCTCCTGTCTCCCAGGACCAGAATCAGGAAAATCCTGGTTACCATAGCAACTGACCTTGAGGCATTTGAGGGCTAACTGGTTAAGTACTGTATGCATTGTTTGACTATGAACAGATGTACGGAATTGGTTTTGTTTTATTGATAGACAGCTTTGTGATGAACTATGTCCTGGACATGTTTACAATGACAGCACAAAGGACATACAGCATTCAAAACAGGACACACCTGCAGGCTTCTCTAGGGCTACAACCTGATTGTGACCTTCAGCAATTAAATGTTATTATATCCATCCTAACAATACCAGGATGATTAATTTGCTTTTCTTTGTGATAATTTGTAAATAACACACTGTGGTCAGTAAATATATTAGTGACCTTAATGTTTTACTACACACGGCTATGGGTAGATATAAATACATATTTTACACTGTAACTCCAGGAGTTCGTCCTAATACATAAATCTATACAAACAAACATACCAGAAAGGAATTCAATAATTTATGACCCAATTTTAAACATAAATAATCAGTTTATCTTCAAAAGTGTTAATAATTGATAAGAAGATGATCAGTCACCTTGGAAGAACATCTTGATGGAATTAGTATGCCAAAAACGGGTTCCATTATATTACTACATGTACTCCCCAGCGGCTTGAAATTTTGAGCATGTACAAACAGTATGTTCTTCTCTAGACAAATTTCAAGACTTTGGAAACTATAAGTCTTTATGATTCATTTTAAGAAATGATATTTTCATATGCGTATGCATAGACTTCAACAAAATCTTTTTTTTTTAAATGACATCTTTACTACTGCTTTACACTTTTGTACAGTTTGTAGGTTCTTAATTTAAGATAAAGTTTGTTAGATTTAAATCAAAGTTACCAAATTTTCTAAAATTTTCTAAGCCTGTTTTTTAAAGTAACTACTTGTAAAACGCAACTCACCTGCCTCCTAGATGAAGCCAAAGAAATATTTAACAAACTTTCCTAGCCTGATACAGGTATGAAATTTAACACTAACTCAGGGTAGATCTACCTGTGTTCTGCTTACCTTTCGCTGATACAGAAGACCTGAGCACCCAGACAGTCATTGTCTTCACTGGTAATCTATTACCTCAAAGATTTTACAGGCGAGTACATCCCATGATGGATATACATATACCAGCTATTAAGGAATGTCTGCAAACATGTGTGCAGGTGTGCACAGGTGAGTAAATGACTGGGTCTACCACTTGACCATACTACTTAAGAGATAAAACACTCCAGTCTTCAGGTGCCAGAAACAAAGGTCTAATGACCACTAAAATGCTAGGTAAACCAATTTTCATATATCCAGCAACTTTAAAATTTTCATCAAACCATATACCCCTGGCTCTTACAGGTATACCTGGATCTCGAAATATTACAGGTAGGTTGTAAACCTTGCACAGGTAATGATTAAAATCCCAGACATTTTGTCAAATTGTTACAACTAGGTCAACAGGTTATCTCTAATAACTTTCAAATATAAACTGCACCTGTGATCAATAGAGTTTCAGTAGGACAGGAAATGCCTTCAGCAAGCAAATTGGGTTACACTAGCCGTGCACCTTTACCTAGCTGTCAAACGTTAAAAGGCAATTATCACGCCCAAAGCTTCAAACTTCAGGCCATATGTACAGGTTTGCCAAATTTTAACAAGAGAGGAAATAGGAGACCTTAAAACTGAAAGCAATGAAATGAAAAAGGTTACTTTGGAGAGCATATGTAAGATTTAGACTAGTTGTAGGCTTGTGTCATGTCTACATAGTAAGGATATATAACGGTAGGGTCAAATATGGCCTTGACCTTAAAAATGACCTGGAAAATGACCTACAATATATGTAAAGCAGTGATGTGTCCAACTGAATCTAAGAGCTGTACAGGTATTACAGACTTATTCAAGTTTTAAAATATTACAGTGGAATAACATAATTATATGCATAATTTAAACTTATTGAAATTACACATATTAAATTATTTAAATGAAGATGCACAGAATTTTAATAGCTATCAGAAAGGCTGTATAATTGAATGCGATTATAGAATATGTAATTTCTTACCTTTCTGTTTGATAAAATTTGTATATCTCCGGCATCATTTAGAAAGCAGATATCACTTTTAGTGTTTCAAGATAAGTAAACAGTAATGTTAAACTGGCATGGTGAAAACTGCCTATACACTTCCAACTGTGTAACACACAATTTGAACCAAAGTTTAAACAAAGACCAAACAAAAAAATTTACACCTATAAGTTCAATGAAGTAATGTCTGTAATAAAAGTTAGCCATGGTCTACAGAACACAGATAACATTTTACAAATTTTATTTCCTGTCGACCTGTTTGACCTGACAGCCATAGTAAGTGTGAAATCAACCACTGCTTGTTTCATAAGGCTATAATTGACGGACTTAACTTCCTTTCATACTCGGGAACTTAAAAAAAACTTTGTCTGGCTTGAACAATCTTCTACTCGGAGTGATATCGGCCCACGTTCATTGTATTCATCAAAAACTTAATACGATAGAACAATCTCAATTTAAAACATGGAAAGGCCATATACATTGTTATCTTGTTGTCTGCTCAAGGGGAAATGAAATGTAATAAAACTGAATGTCACAGTGCATAGCAATTTTCAATGATCTATATCATAGACCCAAACAAAAGCACATATATATACATGTACATATATATATATATATATATATATATATACAGTTATTTAGACCGTTTGGATTTCTATATCAATAGTCTCGGCTTTCTGTATATTTGACAGATACAAGGTACAAATGTCTTTCCATAGAGGAATCTGATTCGCTGGTTTATACAGGTTTTCAGAATACACAGGGTTCACTCTATAAGTGAAACTCATTTGGTCTTTTAATGTGTGTACAAAAACAATGACTTCATAATGAGTTTATTTCCTTGAGCAGAAAAAAAAATTGTTCTAAAATTTGTTTCACTTAATGTTTGGATTATTTAGATAAAATAATTTTTAAAACTTGAGGAAAAAAAAAATGAAAAAAAAAAAAACAAATTGGATTGTTACGTAACAGGAAAAATCATATTGAATTATTTTAGAAACAAAATGTCAGCCCTACATCCTACATCAGACTGAAATTTGCCAATACACACTGTTATATCAGCAACAAGTATGCTACCATTATTTACAATCAAGCCAACATTACATTTTTTTAATATCAATTCCCAATATCCTATATTCCTCAATTTTTTTTTAAAATTGTAAAGTATATAAATATATATATATGTCCTTGATGTAAAGTGGAAAGTTTGTTCACTAGTATGGTAAAATACAGAATGAAACTGATACATGCTGTCTACTTCTACCAGACAGCTGTAAAGAAACACTTGCATTATTTATACTGAGGAGGCTTAAAAGTTATTGATTTTTCAAAATTTCTAAAATCAAATCTATTCCTAATATCAAAGTTACAAAAAGGAAGGCTTCCTTCCTATGCTTTGAGTTACTATTTAATTTTCCTATTGTGGGGGAGGGATGTCAATTGCCAAATTTTTTCTGTAATTTTTTTCGAGAGTTTCGTTATTCTACATTTTCTTGTCCTTTTAAGTTTAGTTGATGTTATATTTTCTTGTGTATAGTCTTTTTCTGAACAACCCAGTAATGCGTTTTTTTTTTTTTTATTTTTCCCTTCCTCAACTTGATAATGTTACCTGAAAGAAAGTGTTGAGAGTCGGGGCCGAAGTCCCGAAGAGCTTCTTGTAGGTCTCTAAGGCGATCCTCCACGGCAATCTGTAGCTCCTGCCATCGAGTGTTGTAGTCTTCCAGTCTGTGGACGTTCACATGGTTGAGTATTACTTTGAGGTTTTGGAGTTCATTGGCACGGTCATTCACACTGTCAACCTGGCCCTGGATTGGTGCGTATGTTTTCTGATATGCCTGTTTTCAACAGCAATAAATGGTCATAGATAACACCTGAGGTTAATATAGCATATATTCATGTTTTCATTTAGACCTACCCCTAACTATTGAACAACTTTCCTGTAATAAACTTTTTTTTTTTTTTTTTAATTTTCATTTACAATACATAATGAGCAAATTGCAAATTTATGTAAATTATACAAATATAATGCATTTGATGTTCGACAGACTGATGGCCAATGCCATGTCATAAAAAGTCCCGTGAAAGCTTTTAACAGGAGTATAGAATTTCCCTGACATTTAAATTGATAAAAACAGTTGCTCACTTTTATATTTTCTATTTCTGTGGGTAGATTTTCTATAATCATGTCAGCTATTGGTGGCCATTTTGTTTTTTCCTGTTCTGCTTCCCTGAGTCGACTGTTCAAATTTTCTAAACCGTCCTGAAGAACTACCATTTTCTGTAAAACACATGATTAAAAAAGTAATAAACAAAATGCATATGACTCAGAAATAATTTGTAATTATCAACTGTTCCAAATAAATTTGAAGATTTCAACATCATATTTACAACATTTGACCATCATCACGGACATCTGTAAAATGATCTGTATATTTCCTATCTCAGGTAGCTGGTTCTTGAGAAATACGATAACCTTCGAACTCTCAAACCTAATCAGACGAGAAGTATCAATTAGAGTTATGTCCCCTACCTCCGTGACTTCCTCTATTCTAGCCTGCCACTCATTACATCCTTGATTAATTTCCACCCACTTCCTATTGAGCAGTCTCACTTGACGACGGATTTTCTTGATTAGATGGCGAGCCTCTTTTTCAGGTGATGTTTCTGTAGGCGGTACTTCCTCTGAAAACAGGAAGTCAATTATGAGTTATGGTCATGCCCGCCATTAGCAACATCTGTGCTGTGTTTAAAACATGAGTGTTTTCTATTAACTGTGATTAATTGATAACATAGAAGATGATACCAGATGTTAACTAGCCAATCGCTGCCCTTGTATCAGTTTTATATGAGAGAATTCTTTCCTGTTATATGATAGCTAAATCAATGTTGTTGTTTACTTTGATAATTGATAAATGATTATATTATATATATCAGAACTTTATTCAAAACTTTAATTGAGGCTTCCATATAAAAAAGTTTGATTCTTAAAAATAAAATTTGAAAAAAGAAAAAGAAAAAAAAGTTGGAGCCTTACTTGAAATTACAAATTCAAGAGAAAATAATAATTTTTCACTTCCTGATTACCTAAAAGTCATTATTTAACTATTTTCTAAATCTATGTTTGTGATTGGTGAAGCAATATGGGATTAAGATTCTTGTGTCTCACCATGTTCACTACTTTCACCACTATCTGTACTGAGACGCTTGTCTTCTCCTTCCTCTCTCAGGTAATGACGCCCAGCCTCCAGACTCTGTTCTATAATAGGTCTCTTTGTGTCTAATTGTCGGCGTAGTCTCTGATAGTGCAAATAAGGAGATAAATTTTACTGGACAGACAATGAGATAAGTTAAGAGTGACCACTCCTATACACAAGAAACAGATCTAATTTTTTTAAAAGTTGTCCTTTGGGGAAATACACACAAGATCCACTTTGCCTCAATATAAAGAGGGAGACGAGATCATCTTGACACCAAAAGTTGATGTAATGATGGCATAAAAGAAACATGGAATTATCTGTAAATTATCCGATGTCTAAGAGAATGGAGCAACAATTGATGATACATGTAGTAGAATGGTACACAATAACTGATGACAAAGTAAACAGTACACGAGAAATAATGACACATTATTCTTTCTCTGATGACACAATTAAAGGCATTGATGAATAAAAAAAACACTGATTATATTTCACCACTAGTCCAGAATACTTTTAAAATATGTTAAAGGTAGATAAATATCTGAAACAAAACACGAGCATAATTGGTAAGGGAGATAACTTTAACACAAATCACAGTTATAATATTCAGCATTTTGAATTTCCACAAATCAAATGGACGTTAAGGCAATATCTACACAAAATATTGATGGATCTTCCCCTGCCAAAACAATACACCATTTCATGTGAGGGGATTATAATTATATTTTGGTATTGAGGTCATGACCTTCTTAAGTACATCTAAGTTTTTTTTAATCTTTTTGACAACACATGAAGCTAAGAATACAAAGAATAACACTGTAGGCTATTTCAGGTCCATTAAATCGATGTCTAAGTGGAAACATACCCTGTTTTCCTCGCTTTGACTTTGAAGAGTTAAAAGGTCCCCTCCAATTGGTCGTTGTTTGTGGAGCTCTTGCTGTTTGGTCAAAAGCCAGCCAATCAGATCCTGTAATGTGTTTACTAGGTGGAGCCATTGTTCTGCATTACTTTCGAGTCTACCCCTGAAATGAGAAAAAGAAAAATTGAATTTCATACTTTACACTTTTACATAGCAACACTTTACAAGTATTACCTTAAAATAGTGCTGCATGCCTGATGTCCAAAATAACCGAAGAAGATAATTTTCCCTCATTGTCTATAATGACAAGACCAAAGAAAAACTCCAAGGTAAAATGGCACACCCCTTATGATATTTTACTCAACTTGTGATATGCTTACACTGCTGTTTGCATTCTGAATAAAGGTGATAAAAACAGCTTGACTAAACTCAGTAGACAATGCATTTGCCCCAACAGTGCCCAGATTAACCTTCGTAAGACCAGTAGTTGACATCAATATCACTACATCACACCTGATTACCCATGTTTATTTGTGTGAGTGAGAAACCTTGTTTTGAACTGACCAGTGCACACGTTTTTTCTTGCGGCGCCGACCAGATTCGGTGTGGCCATTGGACACTATCGATCTGGACACCCATTCCTTGCGACAACCAACAAGGGCAATGAAGTGGACTGTGCCGGGTCGTGGAATAAATCCATTATTTCTTCCAACTAAAGCCACGTATTTCATTTTAACGGATAGCACTCAGAAGGTCTTCTTTATGCTGACTGCACCAACCGTGTTCACAGTGTTGTACACACAGACCTCTGACTATCCAATAAACGTTGTATATATTGGATTGTTTTTTTAATCTATATGTAAAAATCCAGAATACCACTCCTGTGAACGTGTTGATGATATATTGACATAAAGCCTATACGTAGAATATACCTTTTGCAGATTGATCACATCAATCAATTAATTCACAACTGGAAGACAATTGAAAGAAAATAAAAATTTAACATCCTGTCGTAAAAATTCTGCATAATCCATTGAAGAACATTGAGACGAACGTATAAATTCCTTTATAACATGTTGTATATCCTTCAGTAGGAAGAAAATTGTAGACCACAGCTAGCCTGTTACCGCCTAACAATCCTTGCTGAATACAATTTATGACTCCTAGATGACGACAACCACAGCATTATGCATGACACTGCAAAAGTGGCATGATTTTAATGGTACTTTGACTTTGACAAGACGTTTATCAAATGATCGGTACAGGTTCTAGTTGTGAATGTACATATATTTATGATTCATGTCCTTTAACTAATTCACAAAATGTAAATTAGGTTAGATTGGAGCATTTCCCGGCCGTTCTGTCCACATTACTATCTGGGCTCATTCAATTAACTACGTACACATATTAGGAGAATTAACTTAGAGAAAACTTTATGTGGGAGACATTTCACATAGATTAACATAGGTCTCCGATACCATACCAGATCAGGTCACTGTTATCTACTCTAGACCAGACCCTGCTCTACACTCAGTAATTAGTCTATATCTTAATGGCCTGGGTGTACCCTAATAGGCCCTGAATTAACATCATATACAGAACCAAATTGATATCAATAGAATTTAAGCTGCTCAATTAAGCTGACTACATATATAGAAAACTGAAATTGAGATCAGAAGCCAGTAATCTGTTATGAATTCTCTTGAATTCAATTCTTAAAACTGCACTTGAAGAAAGCAGTGAAGGAAAATATGCTCCTTCACAAACGTAGGTGAAAACTGTTTTGCCCCAGGTGTATTAAATTTATAAACTAATATACAAATGACTGACAAGGTAAATCTTTTCAATCACAAGTCGTGCAGTTTTATTAAACTGTATATCAAATGTTTCCTTCTAGGCTGTCAACGCTGTGATGAATTAGTCAATGTTTAGCTTTCCTCTTGACAAGGACACCTTTCCACTCAAATACACTTACTTATTAATAAAAATTTCTTGCCTTGTTAACCGGTTCATACTGCTTTTCTTCTGTTTATTTGTTCGATTTGTTTGTTTTTCATTATCAGTGACCAAAAATATAGAAGTATATATAAGTGCTGTTTTTATTGCAACTAGACAAGTTTTTATGAGTGTAATTGTAAGTACCATTTTTATATCATATTTACACGATCTTATTGGTGTGTAATCAAGCCTGAGAAAAGTGGTCTTTATAGTCAATTGGCCTTATATAGAGGTTCAATTATCATATAGTTTTATCATACTGACCTTGGATATAAAAGCAGTAGTATTTATAGGTAGGTAACAAAGAAAGCATTTATACAGGTATTCCAATTATTTTAGAGACTTTTCTGTATATATTGGGATACAAAGCCAGTGGTCTTTATATACAGGTGTCCATTATAGACAGATATCTTTAAACAGATGGCCTTTATAGACAGGTTTGACACAAACACAATTTAACCTAACAAGGATAAAAAACTATGTATAACAAATTGTTTCGCAAATGTCACCATTTCTTCTAATATTAAATTCATAGTCACAACTAACTTCAATACTTTAACCACTGATACAATTCCAAAATGTCTCCGTTACATGGTCTAGATTCTTGTCCTCAGAAACAATTTTCAATAATCGTCTTCTAATGTAAGTCGTGGCGTATAGTGATGCTATTTTGAAGCAGGAACACGAAGTATCTTGGAATTAATTATACAGCCAACTATGAGCGAATTCCTGGCGTGATTGATAACTTAATTCAAATTTCCCTATATTTGTGTATTGATTAGAGGGAAATCTATTTAAATGACTCTGCATCCGGTATCTGACAGTCATTATAAACGTTATTAGTAGGTACATAGGCACACAAATACAGCAGCAAGAATTCATGGCGAATCGATTAGATGAAAATTTTATTTAGAATCACACGCAGTTCTTGCAAGTTCTATGAATATGTTGTGTATGCATTTAAATGGAAATTTTTAAATGAATGCATATGTAAATTCTTCATTTCTGAACATCTTTTTCCTTAAGTTTATTTCTTCGAACACTCACAGGAACATTAGTCACTGTTATTACATCTAGTCCTTGATCTTTGATCTAAAATCTTTTAAGCTTCACAATAAAGAAAGATAACTCTTACATAGTTTCTTTTTAAATGTGTCTGTTCTTATATTTTTTGAAACTGTGCTATCAGGGTTAAAACCTTTTATGTAACAAGTGCAAATAATTTCATTAGAAATCTGTGGCAGCCATTTTAGCTTCAAAAAGTTGTTTCAAGATCAATTCAAGAAAATGTAATGAAATATCATTAAATGATAGACCTCAGCACCAATTGCAAGCTGATAAGTTCAATATCATTTGAGAACTTAGAAATGTCTGCAAGAAATAAATGCCCCCATGCTACCATGTGCACAAGCATCAATATTTGATGAGATTCTTAAGTTGTCAAATGTGACCTCTGACCTTTAACCTTGACAGATAACGACTTTCATAAAATAAGTTAGGTGTGGTGTAGCATTTGATGTTATGATACTATAGGTGTAAATTCTGTCCGTAAATTCTGTCTGGAAGATCTGAAGATATGGCATTGATTCAGACTGGTGGAACATAATGGACAAACATGGATTACACATATATTTAAAGGTTACTGTGATGGAAGGGGCAGTTAAATAGGACTGAAAAGCACTTATGGCTTTCAAATGTTGAAAATTGAAGAAATAAAACGTTATATATTACAAACGTACACGTAGTCCGTGAACACGATATAACGCAATCAATATTTCTGTACATTATCACTTTTTGTCGAATAAGTGCCACAATAAATTCATGCATTAGCAATGACTTCTGTATATAACAATATACTGAAGCTACAAGTAGCACTACCATATTTCAGCAAAACACTTTTAGCGCAGAAATATTTAAGTCTGCCGTACCTTATTTCCATGGACTTAGTCATCAGGTTGATCCATCGCTGGTTCATCTCCTCCAGACGTCGGTGGAGCTTTTGTGCGTCGGTCGCCACCATGTTGCGAGCCAGTTGATTCCCAGCAGAGTTCAGAGAGTCGTATGTGCTCTTGTTCGCATCAACTTCTGCCTGAAGATCCTGTAACGATATAGACATGGCAAAATTTTAATTACAGTCCAGTGTAACATTGACATCATTACGAATTTGCTTTCGTAGCTCAGCTCTATTCCACCTGAATACCATTCATAGCTTTCATAGCAGCAAATCTTATGTAGATGAGTTTACGATTTCCCAAAAATACTTTCATAGTCACTGTAACCTTGACCTTGAAATTCTGAAACTCTTCATATTTTCATTTTTTATTATTGAATCAAAATCCCGTAAAAGGTGAAGTCGTGAATTAACAACATAAACGCAGGGGTTGGTATCACTATTATAATGCCTTAAAACACAATGTTCCTAAACAGGGAAAGGGGGGATATGAAAACTCAGATAATAGCATGTGTAACTGGCTGACCCTAATTTCTAGATCAGGTACTCTCAAAGGAATGATTTAAATATCATATTTGTAGTTAAAATGATACTTTAACCTGATGAAGAATGATACCAAGAATAACTTCTGTACAAGACAAATTAAATCAGGGGAGAAAACCCTGCAAGCACAACAGATGTTTTTGTGGATGGATTTAATTCAATTTACTCCTTCTAGTAATTTATACAGAAGCTCAGGTCGAACAAAGTGTGAAGTAATGTATCACACGGTTAATGGTCGATAGATTGGGAAATAAATCCCTGGCCAGTCAACACCTCAAACTGTCCAAGCGACCATAAACAGCCATACCCTGACGACAGTATGTGACACTGCTGTCAGCGACTTCCTGTGATGAATCCCACAGTGGCCACAGTAGGAGATGGTAGCACAGCCTCCGACCACATGAACAGATAACTGATGGCACCGAAGGCCAATGATTATTTTCTTCTATAAATGGTCACTACACATCCTCTGTTTAATAAGATCAGTTCAGGGAGACAATAACGATCCACACATGGACTCGGAATTTTAATTTAGTGTCGGAATGATGGATAAATGTTTACCACCTAACAGCAGTGACCTCCACACTATAGGGTGTTTATAACTGCTGGAACCATTGGTCAATCATTAAAGAACTATCACAGCTCATAATTGTCTTTCAAATCGTTATCGACATTCACAAAGAATCGTTCTTAAGAAAGAACAATTCAATCTCCACAGAATTCCAAAGGCCTAAATTTTGAAACTTAGGAGGTTACTAACTAACCAAAATTAATAAAAAACAAATGTTATAATCTGAATTAAAAGGTGCCTTGTTATTTGATAAAATATGTAGCAAATGATGATATTCATCTTATATTTTTGAAATGATAATAAAGGTAAATGTAATTTTAAAGAGTCATTAAGAACATTTCATTCAACTTGAAACAAAAGATATTTGAAACATTGCCTCTCACTTACAGCATAGTGCCATTGAAGTTGCACACACTATAGTACCACAAAATAAAGGAAATATTTTGTTGAAAATTAGTCCAGAAGCTATGGTTTTATTGCGGTGAATTAAAATCAAATTTTCAACAGAAACATTGATGTGACCTCATTTTAGTATGTGACACAGTTATTGACCTTGATAAATTTGCATATATTGTAGTATGTTTGCCATACCTGATTATAAACTGGGGACCACATCTATTGCAGTTTCAGTAGAAAGGGCAACAAATGATAATGTCCTGTAATAAGCCCATCTCACCAATTTAAAGGTTATGTGTTGTCCCCTGGGCTTATTGTACTTATTACACTGGCAGACACTACTGCATGCCTAAATATCCTTAGAAAGTGGGGGGATGATATATTGGGTCTAATTTACATTGTATGATGGGAAGACCAACAAAACATTACTAACCAATTACATTCTATATTCAAGAAGCTTGAGACATAGTTACAATAAATCAGTGCAAGTGATTGTCAAAGATATCGCCTGAGAGTCTTGGAGCAGGACAGGTTCTGTGATCGTTTCTAAAACCAGCTAGAGACTCTCTGTAAAGCTATTTGAACTCTCCTTCCAATTACATTAGTCCAGTCTACAATACATTGTAGGGGTGTAGAGGATGCAGAAAAGCGTTTCGGACACTTGAATGTTGAAGTGATCATATAATTGAGGGAAGATGAAGAATCCTTGATCTTGTTACTATAACTCGGAGACATAATTGCATCAAAATTTCAAAGCCAAGCAATTCTGTTTTTTATGCTATGTCGATTGGAGTCTGGCTCTATTTCTGTAGCACAATATTTTTATTCAGGGTCTTGTCCTTAACTATTCTCTAGAACCCTAATACCATGACAAAAAGCCACACTGAAGCGGGCACAAAGCCCCTCATCTGTTACAAGCAATTGTGTAGCACTGATTTAATAATCCCATATGATAACAAAAAGCAAACAATGAAGGCAAATGACCAGAGACATCCTACCCCAAGAATGCTGTGACATTTTCAATAGTACCAGCATCCGATCCCTGCCCTATTACCACTGATGGGGACAAATATCAATACTGTTGCATGCACTGCGGGTTAGAACAATTCAGCATAATCATATCATCAAAAGCTATAGGGTTTAAGTGAGAAGCCTGCACAGACTAGGCCAGTGATGAAGTATCAGCAGAGTGCACAAGTTGTCATTGACTTTTCAAAAGAAGATTGGAATTTTTTCTTTCCTTTTTCTCAAGAGTTTCTGGACTCCTTAGAAGTATTAATGTCATTAAATCTTATCAATCGAGATTTAATAAACATACCGTACATATCTGTAAACAAGCTCCTGTTCACTAATAAGCCCACAGTCTTCATTTTTGCATAGTGTTCACTTTTAAAATAGTAACATTAACATTGTTCACAACCAATGAACACTCTCTAAATCTTAACATTTACCCTATGGGAAGGGACTTGATTTAAGGACAAATTTATTCCCTTAAAACATCACCTAACTCATAATATAAGGCATTTTTTGTTTGGTAACTGATAAAGATAAAATCTGACCACAAAAAATTTACAATTTAAAAATTAAAAAGGGGACAAGCAAATAAATATAAACAAACAGATACACCGAAAATATCTTCATCTCAATAAACTAATAGTAAATATTTTTCATCTTAAAAAACTTTCTGCTTTCCTTTCTCAGACAGCAACAAGAATGTAAGTGATAGCTAATTCTAACCAAACTTCAAACTGTGACTTGACTAATTTCAACTTCACAGCCAGTTTTCCATCTTGATAACCATCTGAGACTTCAGGAGTCATTGAATGTTCAGTGGTCGTTGACTTGTTGTTTTCTGTAAAATTGGAATAAAGTAGCACCGCTGACCTCTTGCAACTAGACACATAGAACCGCATCTCTTTCACAAAGAGTGATCACTTCTCGATAACTCCTGACTTCCTGGTTTAATTATTGCCTCCTGACAAGAAGTAGTGTTTCTTCGTGTATGGAACTTCTCTAGGAAACAAAATGGTCAAATAACTAATTGTAACAAATTCCTGTTACTTGATGACAGAGAGAGATCAAATTGACCTATTTTCCCTTAATCGTTAAACATCTAAAACAGTATGGGTTAGGACAGACAGATCACAATGATATTTGTGATGAGGCCACTTTAGCTAGTTGTAATGCTAAATGAATTGGCAAAGACTTTATTGTACCATAATAACAATAAAAGGCACCCATCTCATATTGTAATAACTGTAAAACACTCCCATCCTATATTGTACCATAATATCTTCAAAAGGCACCCATCTCATATTGTAATAACTGTAAAACACTCCCATCTTATATTGTACCATAATATCTTCAAAAGACACCCATCTCATATTGTAGTAACTGTAAAACACGCCCATCCTATATTGTACCATAATATCTTCAAAAGACACCCATCTCATATTGTAGTAACTGTAAAACACACCCATCTTATATTGTACCATAATAACTTCAAAAGACACCCATCTCATACTATACCCAAATAACTATAAAAGACATCAATATTGTACCATAATAGCTTCAATACACAATCATCCCATATTGTACCATAGTAACTCTTAAAAAGACACCCATCCCATGAAAACAAAAACAACTGCTGTTGATCATGAATAATGGTCCAAAACACTTCAGTTCGACATTGGATTGAAGATTTATACGTGGCAGCTCAAGTTTCAAGCCTACGTTACATTAACATGTCTCCACACTTTTAACTGAGTTTTAATCAAACAAATTAAACTGCTATGCAACAACAACATTGTTTGTTCTAGTGCATTATCATCCTGTCTATAATCGTCTAGCTTTTAGTATTTGCCTTGAGATTGAAGTATCTGAGTGGGTTTTACTGTTCATTCTGTGGAATGTAGTATTCATCTGAGATAAAGTGTTGGTGCGGATCTTATAATTTTTATTCTTCCTGAATACAAAATCATTGATTGATATACCTGTATCTTACAATGTATCAGGTAACGCCTCCTTTGACTGCCAAAGTCGACTTCGCTAAAGCATCAATATACAGAGCTCCGTCTCTGTCAGTGATTACCTCGTCCTTTTTATTGAGACAATAATGAAGCTTACGTTCTTTGACACGGGAGAGTTAACATCAATACTTTAAGCCACACACATCCTTATGTGTCATGACAATATGGCTACGCGATTGTCGCAGAGATCATTCGTTAATTCTCGGGATCAATGGTGAGGACGTATTTTTTTTCATTGAAAGCTGATTGGAAACATGATTAAGTGTCTGATGAACTGTAGGATAAATTGTGAGACCCTGCAACCTAAACATTCTTCATAACTAAAGTCTGTGAACGTGTGACAAACAAACGGTTTGGATATTACATCATTCCACCACTAACTGATCAAATTCAAGATGTTTAGAAGATAATTGACATGACACACGAGGACCAGACATTTTCAATCTCATTGTGACAGACCTCTGTGACAATCTGATACTTTATAAACGTCTCTTTAACATGAAAACAATCTACAGCAGCAGTCTTTTATTCCTTCAAAGAGTCATCTGCCCTTCAATGTGAGAGACACCAATTTTTTTAACTGTGAGCATCATTAACAATTAATGAAG